CTACATATGACTTATCTATGGCGATGACTCATTTGTTGATGTAAGTGTCTCAAATATTGCATCATATCACCCTTATATAGCAATATTTGATTCTGTAGTGGATAAATAGTGTTAAAAGGAAATTGGTTGGAGCAACATAACATCACATACGATGTACTTGTTCTCAATATAACATAACATAACAGATAAAATAAAACATTATCATTAGTTACAAACATTATCATCGACGATAAATTAGGAATGATGAGGACAACGACGACTTGCTATAAAAAATATCATAATAGATTAAACTTGTGTTGTAGAAATTTCACAATAACTGAATCTGTGAAGAAGAATAATGGAGAAACAAACAAGAGAGATGAAAGGAAAGAAGAAAACAAAATGGAATTAGTAAAAGTAAATTAAATTTGGAATATGAAGCGACCTTTTATAGAAGAGAAAGGGAAAATGAAGGTTGTTTTCTACCTTTTAATTTTTTTTTTTGAATTTTGACAATATAACGTTGCAACATATGACAATTCAAAGTGATATATGTTGTCACATATCTCCTTTCTGTTGGGGTACATGCATAAAATTATGTGATTTTTTTACAACAGAGATTATATATGTTGTCACATATCACCTTTCTGTTGGGGCATATACAGATGATTGTGTGATTTTTTTACAACAAAGATTATATATACTGCCACAGATACCACATTTCTTCATTTCCAACATAATTGACATTTGTTCCAACAAAATAAATAAAAAATAATAATAAAACCTTCAAATGGATATTATTGCTTCTTCACATCACAACTGACGACTTTCTTCTCTTTCTCTTCCTCTTTCTCTTTTTTCTCTTTCTCTCCCCTTGCCTTTTGCGATTGAGGAAGATACTGGAGCAGTATTCATTGATTTTTTCTTTTACTAATTATAGATAGTGATCGAAAAATTGATTTTTTCAACCTCTTACACTTCAAAGGCTGTGAAATCTTCTTGGATGTATGAACATCAATATTATATGTCATTTTCTTAAAAATATTAGTGAGTTCTTTAACACGACTAATAAAATATTCATGTTGCTGCTCACATCTTTCGCATCGACATGTTAAATGATGAAGCATCACTAATAAAAGATTGAGTTGTTGCCACAAATGAAGCTCATTATGACATTTTATCTATCAGGTAAATAAAAAAAGGTTGAGAGTTTACAACTGATTATAAAATAATAAGGTTAACAATTTATCTTATATTGATACATATGAACATTTTGTTGCCACAGTTGTACTTTTTGTTGAAACAGATGAATCTTCTGTTTCAATATATGGGTAACCTATTACTACAGATGATCATTATATTGCTCTAACACATATGTGACATGTTCCAACATATGACAACTATGTTGTAATATGTTCGAACATATCACTAATATGTTGCAACATACGACACAAGATGAACAAAATGTTGGACAACTGAACAAAACTAAATTTCTACAATCATATGAACAAAATATTCACAAAAAGAAGAACAAAAGCAACAAAAATGACTCTTCACTGAACAACAAGCAAAAATGACTCTTCACATATACATTTCCAAAAATTAGGATTTTTTTTGGGTTTGTCGATATTCTTTCAAAAACAAAAATAATAGGTACCATTACACCATTACTAAAAAAAATAGTCTATAGAACGATTTCTTGTTCATTAACCCAAGAAAAGAACTTAGTATCAAGAGTGTGTTGTTTGAAATTGTAAAATCTTTCAAAAAAATGACTTACCCATTTTAAGTCAAACACGACCTTCACTTCAGAAAGAGAGAGAGAGTGACAGCCAGAGATGAGGAGAAAGATAATGGGAGATAATTTTCTAAGGAGGAAGAAGAAGAAGAAGAAGAAGAAGAAGAAGAAAAATTTATTTTCTTTTACTATTTTTTTTACAAAATAGTTTGAATAGAATTAAAGTAGATGACAAATATAATGGTTTTTTTGTATTTTATAAAGGCGAAATAGTCTGATAGACTCTTATACTTGTATGAAGTTGTATTCTAAATCTTTCTACTTGACCCATTGTCAACTGAACCCTTAATTAAAATGAGACTTTTAAACCCTCCAACCATGTGTATAGCTCACTCTCTCTTACATAAATGACATGTCATATCCACATCAGATATAATAATGCCATGTCAAAATTATTTCATAAATATTTTTAAATTATTAACCAAAAATGTTATTCCATAAAAGACAAAAATAATAAATTTTCTATTTACAAAAATAAAATAAAATAAAATAGTTATTTCTCTCACCTCTCCTCCACCTCCCTCAACCCACAACCACCATTAACACCATCTTCATTAACCTTTTTTTCTTCTTCTTCAAGGCCATTGTCTATAACTGTAACTCGACTCTTCAAGTTCTTAAAAATTATAATTCAATTTTTTCTCGAAGTTTCTAACATTCGTAACTCTAATAGTATTTTTTTATCAACGTTTACATCATCTATTTGAATCACCATAAATTTCTTTTCTCCATTAATGCCAATAAATCACCATTAAAATATCACAATAAGTCACAATATTTGTACACAATTTTACATAACACGTTTCACCTAATTTCACAAAGACATTCAACAATCACTTTTCATCCTTCAAGACTATTGAATCTTTGTCACCTTATGGATTGTAAATAGCCCAAAAAAAGGAAAGGAAAACAAATCTACCATAACAACACATTTTCGTTTCTCTAGAAAGAAAGAAAATATGAAAAAAAGGAAAGAAAAGAGAACTTTTAGATGGTTGGGAAGGGGAGAAAAAAAAAGAAAGTAATGGGGATTGGATGGGGAAGAAGGTAATGGTAATTAGAGAAAGAAAGAGAAATGGGGTGGGTTGGGAGGGAAAGAGAAAGAATTTTTTTTTTTAATCTTCTTTTATTTTGGTTTTTTTTAAAAAAAAAACATTTTTTGTCTAAATTTGGAGTTCACGCTCTTTCTACGCGTGAAATCACGTGTTGGTGCCAACTCAATAATTAAATTGCCACATAGGCTTGGTCAATGATCAGAATGACTTAAAATATTGAGTTTTATTGAGTTTAAGGATCCAGTTGACAAACAATAAAGTAGAAGAGTTGATAATACAAACTCATACAAATACAAGAGTCCATCATACCATTTCGCCTTTTATAAAAGATTACAAAATTTTAAAAATATTAATTTAATCCCAAATTAACTTAGTTACGTTTTAAAGTGAATTTGACCATTTCTTGATCAAAGTGTCATCAAAAATCAAACCAAGACTCAATTAACACCTTTCATTTAATTTTCTCAAGATAGTATAGATATAAATATAGATTTTCCCCTTTATCCTTTAACCCCGCGTGGCGCGTACACCCACTTTCTTTCCGTAATCGCCAAAAGAACGCTATACACCCTACCCACCCCTTCTTCACTCTTCCCCTATCGATTCCTCCTTTGTATTTCCCTGTGAGAATCCGTTCGGATGGTACTAATCCGTACAACAGCTGGCCCTTATCCATGGAGGAATTTCGAATTTTCTCAGGATTCACGAGCAGAATTTTTCATCAAAAGAAAGGAGTTTTTCAGATAGCCACTCCAAGTTTAAGAATTTTTAGAAGAGCGTTTTCTTCTTCGGTTGTTTCTAGCTTCTGAAGTTTCACTGTCAAGCTGGTCGTTCCTAGTGGCTTCTCCAAAAAGGTAGATTTCCTTCCAATCTTAATTAGTTTTAGTTAATGTTGCGTACTGTGCTCATGAATAGGATGCAGTTTCAGTTTCCCCTTTTGAATCTCATTTCTGTCGATTTTATGCATTTCCAATGCCTCTTATTGTCTTAGTACTAGACATTTTGGTTCATGTTTATGTATTTAGTTGTTTAAGTGTGGAATGTATTTCCTAAGTATGTTGTTAGCCTGGAATCTCTATTGAAATTGTGGTTTCAAGATTTGTGTTTAGTCTCTTATTTTTTTTAAACCTGATATTCTATGTTCAGGTGTTCTCCATAGCTAATATTTGTCTGAATCAGTTTGATGGTGCCTCGTTTAGCATAGTGTGATGTTATTTTGGAATGGTTTAAATCCTTGTTCGATAAAAAATGATTTACCCCCTTTTCTTTTGTTGTTTTGATCTTAAGTCTCATCTCGTATAGTCTCAAACTTGTTCTTATTCTGGTTTAAGTTTAGATTTCAAGATGAAATTTATCTCAAGTTCGCAGCTGTTTAAATTTTGTACCTATCTAAGCTTTGAATTATTAGTTCAATTGTTCTATCTTGATCTATCTTCTGTTGCTGTTCTTTTCATGGCCTACTGCCCTACTCTATTGATTGTTGATATAAATAAATTTCATGCCTTCTGTGCATTCAAGTTCTACATTAGAATTTAGTCCCAGTGGTTAATATGAATACAATTACTTGCCGTGTAATTGCTATCTTTCAAAATGTAATCAGTCAATGTATATGCCAATGTCTTCTTTAAATGTAAATGAGTTCTTTTGTTCTAGAATAAGATCCCAAAAGATAGAATCTCAATTTTTTCACATGATGCTTCCTTATTTCTTTTGATTCTTCCAGATCCTTTATCCGAAAAGTGTTTCTCTTTCTCTTTTGGATCTAGTCTTACTGGTTTATTATTTAGATTGAGCTTAGTTCATTTAGAATAGGATGACTAATGGCTTAGGAATCATCCATTTTATCTGTACATGAACAACATAATAGATGTTTTAAAAGCATTTAATGGTTATAATAACTTATTTCAATTTGATTTTTCTTATATGACTTGCTTCTGTTAGTGCATAATTCACGACTATTTGGTTTTAATTCCCAACTGCTCCTTCTATCTTATGTTTGGAATAATGAAGCAAACTATTAATTCCTATTTTTATTTGCCTACATGTGATTCTGAGAGTGAGTCCATCTTGGACTTGAAATTTCTATCCTTGCATTTCCGATTGGGCCATGTAAGCTCGACCAATAATCAGAGAGGTCTAAAATATTTATTTTATACATATTCAGGGATTTGGATGAAACCTCGTCAAGTACTAGTGTCCAATTTTCAATTCAAGGTAAATATAAGGGTCTCTTAGGCTATTTGGTCAGAAAAAAGGGAAAAAAGTCAATGACTAAAAACCTCCACTTTCTTATTTCCATTTTCCAATCAAATCATTTATTTCATTCTCAAATTATGTTTCAACTTCAATTACTCCTCTCAATTCTCACTTTGTCCTTTGCTGCCCAATCATATTCTTCCACGTCGCAATTCTCTATTCTCCAATCCAATCATCACCCTAAATCCAACCTCTTATCCATCTCTGTCACTGAGTTTGGTGCTGCTGGCGATGGCGTCAAATACGACACCATTCCGATCCAGAAAGCTATAGATGCATGCTCGACCATCGTATCCAAACATCGTTGTCCATGCCACGTTATCTTCCCCCCGGGAAAGTACCTAACGGCAACAGTATTCGTGAAATCAGGCGTCGTATTGGATATTCACCAGAAGGCAACAATTTTGGGAGGATCAAAGTTAGAGGATTACCCGAAGGAGCAGAGCAGGTGGTATGTGGTACTGGCGGAGGATGCAGTGGATGTTGGGATCATCGGAGGAGGAGAAATCAATGGACAGGGATTGAAGTTTGTAGAGAGATTTGATGACAAGAAGAATGTGATGGTAAGCTGGAACCATACGGGAGCTTGCCTTGGAGATGAGTGTAGGCCGAGGTTGGTAGGGTTCATCAGCTGCCGGAATATTAAAGTCTCCGATGTTAGACTCATTGAACCTGCTTATTGGTGGTACGTGCTCTTCAACTTCTTTTTTGGGGGATTGGAGAACCAAAAGGTTCATTTGATTGAGGGAATTTATTTGCCAAAAAAATTCCTACTCAATTTGATATGAATTATTAGATACTTCCAGTTACTTCTTTGAATTTGAATATTTTATATTTTACCTTGCATTTTGTTTGGATGGTTGTTATATATTGTTTCATTACCAAATTGTATTGTTGAAATGATATAACATTTTGATAGATTATATCGTTTTTTGTTGTTATATGGTATTAAACATCAATAACTTGAAAGATAAACCTACAAGAAAAGTAGGATATAAGGTAGAGCTACTATAAAAAAAATAGTGTAAATAATAGAATAGGATTATTAAATAATAAGTAATGACAAAATGAGGAAAAAAAGTATCAATGTGAGCACACCAAATTGTTGGTTACGCAAAATGAGGCTTTTCGTCGTTACTTAACGATATGATACATTAAAATAAAAAACAATCACAACAAACATTGTGTTTAAATCAAACAACATAATATAATTCAATATGTAACAACAATCAAGTTGTTAATGTATGATCTCATCCCAAAGAAGTAACATACATACTTTTACCACGTAATTTTTTTTTCACATGATAATTTCCAAGTAAAATATATTTCTTACTTCTTAAAATTTATCAATTTTTTAGACCATCTATCCCGGGTCAACTTAGTAAAAGTTTTGGTTGGAACTACATCTTTATGCTAAATATTTTTGTTTGATTAATTTGGTCAAATGTTTTTTTACAGATTTGACCCTAATAAACAATAACAGTTAAACAAAATATGTATTATATTTAAAGAAGATTATTTTTTTACAGAGTTCGGAGTTTATTATTCTCGGTAAAATTTTGCATTAGGCTTAAAAAGAAAAAGTTCTAATTTTTTGATGAAGTAAAAAGAAAATAGTTTTAATGAAGTATCTTTTACAAATTTGATCCAAAAGAAAATACAACGACAGAACAACAACATACTAAGTGAAATCTCACAACTGAGGTCTGGAGAGGGTAGAATGTATGCAGACATTACCACTACCTCGTGGAGATAAAGAGATTTTTGAAAAATCCTTGACTCAAGTGCAATAAATCTAGGTACAAATTAGACAGAGACAATGACACCAAAATTAGTACGATAATTGAAATATCAAAACAAGAACTACAACAATACTAGTATAACGACAATGAAAAACACCAACTACCGTAAACAAGACAACACTACACAATCTTAAAAATGACATTGAATAAGCTAGTCAGCCATTCCAACTTGTTGTATCCATGATCTTCCAAAACTCCATTGCGATCTCATTTGGACCTGTCGCTTTTCCTTGCTCATCCTACTAATAGCATGCTTCACTTCCTCAACCTTAAAACACCTATAGTACCCAAAATCCCGATGTCTTCGGAGGGCTCCAACTCACACAATGTCTCTGTCCCTATCTTCATTCAAGAGTTTGTGGAATTGAAAAAACTAATCTCTATATCTAAAAGAATAAAAACTATAATTGATAGTGTAAAAATATTTATGCATTTAGTTTTAGTGTAGTATGGGCTAAAATAGTAGACAATCTGTGATCTTTCCTAAGTTAATGCACGCACTTTATACTTGCTAGTTTTAAAATAATATATAAAACAATAAACTCTTAATGAATGTTCACACTAGGGTCTCTTTAATTTATAGACAAAATTCAATTTGCATTTCACTTCATCCATTTATTTGTTGTGATTGTGTGTGACTGGATATAGAATTTAAGATATTAAGAAACTGTTTTACCATGAGAATTTTTCACTTTTTTCTGGAATGTTTTCACTTTATTTGAAAATTATGTTTGGCCATGACAGATCCTTTGGGGTGGCCTAGTGGTTTGGGCTTGGGACTTCCATGTTGGAGGTCTCAAGTTTGAAACCCCTTGACAGCGAAAGCAAGGAGTTTGCCTTCTGGCTCGAGCTCGTCGCACCGGACTTGCCTAGTGCGGGTTACCTTTCCTATGTGATTTGCGAGCTATTGCATAGGAGCGGGGGTTTTACCTGTGTGCACCCAAAGGGTAGCGGCTGCAGGTTTCCCTTGTCATCAAAACAAATATTTGGCCATGAAAATGAAGTTGTATTTGAAATTTGGAAAACAACCAAACCATGTTTACACTTTTTTTTACTAAGTCACCGTTTGGCCATGAAAATGAATGAATTTGAAATTTGGAAAACAACCAAACCATGTTTTCACTTTTTTTACTAAGTCAACGTTTGGTCATGAAAATAGAAAAGTATCACTCCTCTGTTTCAATTTATATGAGTTAGTTTGACTTGACGCAGGTTTAAGAAAGAAGAAAGACTTTTGAAACTTATGGTCTAAAATAAGTCAGATATTTGTGTGGCTAGAAATCATTTTATCAAGGGTAAAAATGACATTTTAAAGTTAAATTGTTATAAAGAAATATGTCATTCTTTTTAAGACTGATTAAAAAGGATAGTAAGTCATATAAATTGGGACAGAGGGAGTAACTTTATTTGGAATTTTCAAAGTTGGAGTTGTGTTTGGTCATACTTTTTACTAAGAATATTCAGAATGTGAGTGTATTTTTTCTATTATGATATATACTCTAATTTTTAAAAACTAGCATATCACCCAACTTGACTAATTACATCATACAAATAATCAAATTTGCTCTAAAAGAGTAATATCTCAAAAATATAGTCACATAATGTTATAGATTAGCTTTCATATACGAGCTACTACGTACTATTATAAATATTTTTCACTTTATTTGAAATTTTTGAAGTTGAAAGTGTATTTTGTTATAACATTTTACCTATATGATGTAATGTAATGGTTGTAAAAACGCTAATATCACACTTCACATCAAAGTGAAAGCGTGAATAATTTTTAAAATGTTGTGAAGTTGCGTAAAGATAAATGGTGTCAAACATTTTTAAATGTTTCAAAATAGAAAGTTTCATATTTAAATGGAATTGAAGGAGTAATAAAAAAGGATTTCCTTATTCATATTATATTTCTTATTTTGCTTGCTACTAGTTTAGTCCAAGTATGATCATAGATATAGATTGGTGTTCATAGATATTGAGCTTTAATCTTCTTTTTTCCCCTTTAAAGGTCAATCTCTTAAATTCTGTTGTTTTCAAACATTATTCTCTATTCCGTTCAGTGTTGTGCAATTATTTCAAGAAGCCATTTAATGGTATGATGTTGTTGCAGTTTGCATGTTGTACGAAGTGATAAGACATCAATCTGTGATGTAACCATATATGGGAACTTCAATTCACCCAACAACGATGGTATAGACATAGAGGACTCTAACAATACAGTTATCACTAGATGCAACATCAACACAGGAGACGATGCTATCTGTCCAAAGTCATCAAATGGACCTGTCTACAACCTCACAGCAACAGATAGCTGGATTCAAACAAAATCTTCTGCCATCAAACTTGGAAGCGCTAGCTTTTACACGTTCAAGAATTTCTTGTTTGACAACATTACAATTGTTGAATCTCATAGAGGCCTCGCTCTACAAATTCGAGATGGAGGTATTCCACTTTGGATTTTTCTGCTAGAATGACAATTGATATAGTATTAAATTGCAAGATTTACACCTTTCTATCTTTGCTCCTTGCTTCACACTAGCATTTCATGAATACATTTTACCCGTGCAGAATTAAAACTTAAATCTTATACTGTTCTGATGTTTTAATTATCCCATTTTCGTTTATTACCTACAAGCCTCAATGTTGCTTGTTGTAGTTGCCAGGAACTAGTCATTGCAATGCCAAACAGCTTGGTGCACCTAAATTAAGAACTTGGAGATTCTGATTGCTTAACTTTGTTGAACTAACATGATCAATTGGATTTTATGTTATTTATGGCACGTAATATGATCCTATTTCAGTTAAGTTCTTACTTGTTATTTTATGTTGCCCCTTATGTACTGACGAACATGGTTCTTCAGTAACTATGCAAGAAGTAATTGCAGAATAAAGTAAATCAACACAAGTTTTTACGTGTCCAAGAATAATGGTGTGTGGCTGTCAATAAAAAAAAAATATTGTGAAATTTGAGGTTCGAACCCGAAACTCCTTCATTCAAATGGACACCCATTACCACTGCACCAAAGGCATAACTTTTGTCAAGGGTGTCCAACTTTAAATATATATCCTTTAAATGTAGAATTTGACATATATATATATACGCCGCTGCACTTGATAGGAATAAGGTTCTTCTGACTGTTATCAATTGATTCTCTCTCACACGAAGACACAGTTGATTCTTCTTCTTTGTGCACTTTCTTCTCTTTATGTTTTGATGTCCTAGAAAACATCAAAGTAACACTTTATATAGGAGTAGATGGCCGCTTCTTGTTCTCCCAATTCAACATGGATTTGATCAAGAACCCCAAGATTCTAAATCCAAGTTTGACATGCTTTTGGCCACTGTTTTGCTCTCCTATTTCCAAAGCTTCTTCCATGTATCCAAATATGATATTGTTTCCATATTCTTCCTTGATTTTTGCATCATTGGGTTAGTCATAATCATAATTCCTCAAAGAATCTTTCTATTGGGATCTGTTTTGCCTCGATCAACTGTCTTATTACAGTCTACTGTGAAGGACCTGGTTCCTTACTTCTCCACAGTGTACTCTTGATAGCAGCTCTTGTAGTAGACATGTTAACTGGTATTTCAGTATTTTTTTGTTATAATCACGAGCAGTTCGTATTTGAGAGATGTATGAAATCTTATTCTTGCATATGTTTGTTATGTTTTGCTAATCATTTGTTAATCATCAAAACTTCATATTGTTAGCCTAGCTCATAACTCATATAGCTCTCCCTAATTCATGGCTCTTAGCTCAACATTAGTTTTCTTGTATTTATTCGTTTGTTCGACATACTTGAAATGATTGTTCTACATGCTTGAAATGTAAGAACTAGATAGTACAATGCTTTTAAACCTCTCTTTTTACTCTTTTCTTTGATCTGCTGAATAAAAGACTAATTGTTAAGCTAAGTCTCAAGATTGTTATCTTATTCTCATGCATCTACCTCTACTTTCGTATCTTGCTTTTTCAAATTTCAGTTTGCTTTGTCTTATTTGATCATTTACCGAGCAGGAAATGTTAGTGACATGATCTTCTCAAACATAAACATCAGCACAAGATACTACCACCCTTCATGGTGGGGAAGAGCAGAGCCTATCTATGTGACAACCTGTCCAAGGGATGCTAGTTCAAAAGCAGGTTCAATTTCCAATTTGCTATTTGTGAACATCACAGCAACTTCTGAAAACGGCATCTTCTTATCGGGGTCGGGAGGTGGAGTCCTGAGCAATCTAAAGTTCTTAAACATGAACCTGACGTACAAGAGATGGACAAAGTTCCCAGATGGGTTGGTAGATTACAGGCCAGGATGCCAAGAACTTGTAAAGCACCAACCTGCGGGATTCATGATGGAGCATATTGATGGTCTGGTTGTTGAAGATGTAGTCATGAAATGGTCTAGTGATGAATCAATGAGATGGAATAATCCATTGGATTTCAGGCCATCTACTGTAAATAATATTTCTTTGCTCAATTTCTACTCCAGATCCTACCAAGAACAGTAAGGATGAGGGGATAAACAGGAAGCTGCAAGTAAAAAAGAATTGTTCTATAGAAAAATAAAGCTGCAAATATGTGCTCATGATGAACGCAAAGGGATGTTGATTTGAGCTCGTCCCAGTTGAGCGCCCATTCTATGTTTCCCCATGGCTGATTTGACCAAAGTTAACCGATTCTGTTACCTATTCGGAATGGTTACCTTTTAGCTACTCTGTTTTGCTTTCTCGGATGATCTACGAATATTGGTGATTGTAACGAATGTTACACCAGTGTGCCATAAAGATATTTTACCTAATATACTCTGGTTTGCTATCGAGTTCAAATTTTGCTAAGTGGTGTTTGGATAATGTTCAAGTTGAAGGTGGAAAAGAAATAAATATTGTAAGTTGAGTTGAAAAAATAAGCAACATCCGTTCAACATGGTGGCTGTTTTGTTTGTATTTCGGCATGAGCAGCCCAATCCTGTTAACTTGGTGTTGGCGGATTTGAAAAATCAAAGTATAGTTCAGTAGGTTAACCTTTAAATCTCTTGTTTAGGAGGTTCAAAATGATATATACGTAGTAAATTTGAAAAATACCTTATATATTTTGTCATTGAGTAGAAATAAAAGCAAAGGTTGGAGTAGAGTATACTAAATATGGTTAACCCCATGAACAAGATGAGTCTATTTTTGTATACGAGTAAGCATGTATTTTCCTCCATGATAAAAAAACCATATTTTTACGAACAGAGACAACTCTTGTACGGTTGTCTAAGTTGCAATGGTTCACTCTCCGAGGCCTTGTTCGAAATGGCGAAACAAGGCCTCCAAGTGAAATTCAAGGAATATGATATTCTATTAAACGAATGTATAACCCAAAGGGCTATAAGAGAAGGTCAAAGGGTACATGCCAACATGATCAAAACTCACTATCAACCTCCAGTGTACCTCAGGACAAGGCTTATTGTTTTCTACATAAAATGTGGCCTTTTAGGTGATGCTAGGTGGGTGTTCGATGAAATGCCTCAAAGGAATGTTGTTTCTTGGACTGCCCTCATATCTGGCTATTCTCAAAAAGGGCATATATCTCAAGCTATCCATCTTTTTCTTCAGATGTTGACATCAGGTACTTCTATTTCTTTGCCCATTACATACACTTTACCTATATATCAATGCAGCATTGCAGCGGAGACACACACACATAAACATATTCCTTTCAATCATTTATTTGCATCTGTTGTGACATACGAAGTGTTAATTACATACTCCCTCTGTTTTAATTTGTTTGATTGGTTTTGAATTGATACGGAGTATAAGAAAGTAAAGAAGATTGCCGCTTCTTGTGTTCTTAAATTAAAAATATATAAAATGTACCAAAATGTCTTTTAATCTTGTGGTCTTTGAGGCCTGCAGCCCTTTTTGATTACCTTTTGTTGTGCCCCTACATCTAAAGGGAGAGGATGGCGGCTTTCTTGTGGTATTAATTGCCTACTCATTCCATTTTTGGAGGATTCATTCCCTGTTCCTGCAGCTGAGAAAACCTCAAGCTACGCCTCACCCACCTCATCATCTATAAAAAAAAAACATAAAAGGGTCAAAATTGTCCTTGAACTATGCGAAATAGACCACTTATATCCTCCGTTACATTTTGGAATAAAAAATACCCCACTGTTATCCAAAGAGATCACAAATACCCTCAAAAGTTTACAACCCAAATTTTTAGTGACGTGACATGCCACATGGGACAATCCCTCCACCTAAGCGTTGCCAACTAGGATTCCCACTAAATTATGATTCATTAATTCTAACCCAATTTATAACCCAAACTCTAACCCATTGCTCCTGACCCGATCTGCTAAACTTAAGAGGCAAACATCAGTCTTGAATTCAAGTTCTCACAATCTGAAATTTCAGTAAGACTAACGAATGGTCTCTTTATACTCCTTCATAAGTAGCAAGTTTATCACTCCAGTTGACAATCTCAGAGACTTTCTGCTGAACACCGAACATAGCGCAATGAAAAGTCAGCTAGGACAAAGAAAGAGCTATCAAGTTTCAGCTACCATACCTGTTGGCCATGGTGTATGATTCCAGAAGTGTAGTTCTTAAGTCGTTCAGATGGATAAAGTTGATTATAAACAAGGGACTGGCCGACTGCTTTGTGTCCTAAAGGTGGATTTATCTTTCCATATTGAACAACACTACCAACTAACTTGAATCCAAGATCGATGTTTGCCTCTTAATTTTAGCGGGTCGGGTCGTTAGCAAGAATGGGTTTTGGGCGTCAGGATTAATGATCCATAGTTTAGTGGGAATCCTAGTTGGCAACGCTTGGGCGTCAGGATTAATGATCCATAGTTTAGTGGGAATCCTAGTTGGCAACGCTTGGGCGTCAGGATTAATGATCCATAGTTTAGTGGGAATCCTAGTTGGCAACGCTTGGGTGGAGGGATTAGTCCCACGTGACTTGCCACATCACAAAAAAATTGGGTTGTTAACTGGGACATTTTTTATTCCAAAATGTAATGAAGGGTATAAGTGGTCTACTTCGCATAGTTCAGGTCTCAGGAGCAATTTTGACCCTTATTCTCAAAAAAAAAAAACCAAGCTAGAATTAAAAAGTTGTCAATAAAGAAAAGAGACATTCTTTTTTATATATATTGAAAAGAAAAGTAAGACAATCAAATTGATATGGAGGAAGTACATTTTATTGACCTTCTTTATGTTGAAAAAATAGTGTAATGCATCGGATTCACCCTTGAAATTGAAATTTCATTTGTCCTCTTTTGACTAGACTGTAAAAAAAAAAATTGTTGCAGGTACTGCGCCAAATGAGTTCACTTTTGCAACAGTGCTTACATTATGTACTAGTGCCATTGGGTTTCAATTTGGGAGACAAATTCACTGTCTCTTAGTAAAGAGCCCTTTCGAATCACACGTATATGTGGGAAGCTCACTCCTTGATATGTATGCCAAAGCTGGCAAAGTTCATGAAGCTCGATATGTTTTCGAAAACTTGCCAGAAAGAGATGTTGTCTCTTGCACTGCTATAATCTCAGGCTACGCTCAACAGGGACTATTTGAAGAGGCACTAGAGCTTTTTTGCAAGTTCCAGGCAGAGAGAATGTCTTTCAACTATGTTACATATACTAGTGTATTAACAGCCTTATCAGGACTTGCTGCAGTTGAACAAGGTAGACAACTGCATGCCCATATTATTCGATTGGAACTGCCTTTCTATGCGGTGCTTCATAATTCTCTCATTGATATGTACTCCAAGTGTGGAAAATTCACTTATTCAAGGATGATATTTAATCAAATGTCCGAAAGAACTGTGAGCTCATGGAATGCGATGCTTGTTGGTTACAGTAAACATGGGATGGGAAAGGAGGTAGTTGAGCTCTTCAAAATGATGAGAGAAGAAGACAAAATTAAGCCTGATGAGATAACTCTTTTAGCTGTGTTATCTGGTTGCAGCCATGGAGGAATGGAGGATAAAGGTGTAGAGATTTTTAACGATTTAAGTAGTGGAAAAGATAGGGTTGAGGTTAGCATTGAGCACTGTGGTTGTGTGGTTGATTTGCTAAGTCGATCTGGCCAAGTAGAAAGGGCCTTTCAGTTCATCAAAGAGATGCCTTTTGAACCAACTGCTGCAATTCTGGGTTCACTTTTAGGTGCTTGCTGGGCTCACCTGTATGTTGATATTGGTGAAATTGTAGCCAGACAACTTTTGGAGATAGAGCCAGAAAATGCTGGAACTTATGTAATTCTTTCAAACATGTATGCATCGGCAGGAAGGTGGGAAGATGCTAGAAGAGTAAGAGAGTTGATAAAAGCAAGAGCCATGGTAAAGGAATCTGGAAAAAGCTGGATTGGTCCTGATTTTATCCATGACACAGAAAAACATAATGGAATGAGGACTTATATTCCTCATCAGAGCTTGCTTAATATGGATGAGCAGCGAAAAAAGAAAACGCTACTCCATTGTTCCCAAGGTAGAGCTCAAACACAGCTCAGTTTGATGATTTATTCACATGGAAACTATTGGTGAAGTCTTGCTCCAAAATGGAATAAAGCATATTTTGGTAAGAGAACTTGATATTTCTTCTTGTATATAATGGGGTAGAGTTTTCTGATGGAGCAACTCATAGGTTTTCTTCTAATTGTGAAGTGATCAACTCTTCAAAGTGTTTGATTATCATTGATTGAAGATGCTTGCACTGGTAGCATCAGACAGATGATCATTGGTTATCCAAACCAGGTTGTTTGGTTTCAGTGTGCACATTTTCACAAACATTATTGAGCTTCTACTCTGTAAATGGTAACAGAGTACAAGTAGAAACACTGCTTCAACAAGCAAAAAATTTGGTGGCTCAAATAAATGGAGACCGACCCTTCCATGCAATGTTTGGAAAACTGTACTGTACGGGATAAAGATCCGGTCAAGTAATGTTCAATGACCTTATAGATTCATACCTAAAGCTGTCAATATGGGTTGGCCCATCCCATCCGGGCTAATCCATACATGCTTTGAAATTTGACGGCTGGGCTAGCCCATTTTTGGTGTGGGCCAGAAAATGGTTGGCCCAGCCCACAAGTACGTGGGCCGTAGGCTTGCCGGGCCAACCCTCTTTTCATAAAAATATATTTTTATAATTTTTTAAATTAAATTATAATTTAAAAATATTATCATAAATATCGACAAGATAATATTATATGGTGTTAGTGTTACTACTTGTTAATCAAATCCACAAATAAAATTATCTTTATAATATTTATTAAGTTTGATTTAAAGTAAAATCATAAATAGCTAAATAAAAATATTAACCTAATTGTTTTTCAATGATCATAATAAAACACAAAAACTATGACAATATTCCATAGTCTACGGCATATGTACGTAGTGATTCCTAAATTTTAGGGAATTTTTATTTTATGTAATACATATTTTATAAATATAATTTATATTTAAATTATAATATTTCAAAGTTTAAACTGATTTTGAATTTAGACTCTTGTTATTTTTAATACTCTATTTTATTTTTTATTTTTTAATTAATTTTTATGTGGCCCACAGGCCGCCCCTATCCATATTTCTCAAGTTCCACAAATCGGCAGACTTATTCAGGCTGGGCTAAAAAGCCCTTTTCTTAAATGGGCTTCAAAAATCGTAGTCCAACCCTATCAAATTACGGGTTAGGCCAGGCCGGCCCAACGGGTCTAGCCCATATTGACGGCTCTATTCATACCATGTGTACTGTATAATAATCTATGGTTGAGATCTATTTAATTTTATATACTCATCATAATAATAAAAACAACAAAGCTGTCAACTATTTTTAACTTTTAAAACTATTAAATAAAACAATTAAGTGTACCGTTGCTAATATTTTCAAGAAAAACAATTAAGATTGGCAGGAATATGCAGACCTCCCGACTTTTTTACCGCCAAACCTTACCTTTTTTTTTAGCAACTAAACTAAAAATAAAACAAAAAAAAAGTCAAAAGAGGAAAAGGAAGAGTCTCCAACAGAGCTCTTCGATTTTCTTTCACCGTTAATGGCCTCATCTTCTTCCTTGTGTACATGGTGGATTTGCACTTTATCTCGGTAAGAATCACTCTCCCACCATTCGTTCCTTATCAATTTGTTTTTCATTTGAGCGTTGCTATTTTTGTCTTATTCGAATTTCAAATTTGTTTCTGCTTGACTCGCGGATCTCCATTTTTCTACCTTTCTTCGTCCACTGACTCCTTCTTCATCTTTCTTGTATGGTTCATGTAAGATTTCTCGTCTCTGTAATTTATTCACAATATTATTCTTGAGACCCTCTACATTGTTGCGTCTGTTTCCGTTCTGAGATTTTGTCGAAGTGAATGAGAATAAGTTGTTTTTGGTGATGTTTTCTTTGTTTTTTTTTTTTTTTTGATGTACTCGTGTTTGAAGTTGTTGATTTTTCCTTTACTAGGCTGTTCACGTCATTATGTTCTATCTGTTTGTGTTTTCCTTGTGTTGAATATGAAGTTAGGAACTAGAGCTTTGTCCATGTTGACTATACACTTTCCTTTGCTTGTTAGTTCTTTGAATCCCCTGAATTTTTGTTTTCTATTCCAATCTAATGCTAAATTGGCCATGTAATCTGCTAGTTTGTTACCTTCTCTATATATGTGATGTACTTCTGTGTCACAGTAATTCATAAATTCCTTGGTATCCTCAATTATTGTGTTGATCTGCCAAGGCGTCTCCCATTCACCCTCTAGAATTTTCTTCAATAATAGAGAGTCTGTCTCTATTATACATCTTGCATATCCCTCTGCGACACCATATGCTATAGCCTCCCTAATTGCAATTGCCTCTACCTCTGTATTGGTAGTGTCAGGTATTATGTCTGATTGTGCAAAAAAAAGTCACCTGTACTACTTCTGATACAAAAGCCGTATGAGCTTCTTCCTGGGTTTCCCCTACTTGCACCATTAGTGTTGAACTTGATTGTGCCAATAGGAGGTGGATGCCACTGGACCATCTTGTAGTGCACTATAGTTTTGAAGCTAGCTAGGGACTTCCACTATATTTGGCCATTGGGTTGGTAGATTCCTCACCTTTGGGAACTTAAACTTTGCCAATTGTCATATATTAGTGTTTACCTGATGCACTAATCTGTTGAAATTGATTGTTCCTCCATGCTTCAAGTTATTTCTTCTTTTCCATAATTCCCATATGATGATACTAGGTACTGCCTTCATGACTTGTCTTAGTTGTGTCGAGACAGGCCATGTCCACCATTTAATTATGAGTTGTGATAATTGCATTCCATCATGATTGATACCTGCACACATTGAAAACTTTCTCCACAACCTTTCAGCAGTATAGGAGATTAGAAAAACATGAGACATAGTCTCTCTTTTAGGATGTTGGCAGCAATGACATCTAGAAGGCAGACTAATTCCCATTCTTTGCACCACCTCATCAACAAGTATCTTTTTTTTCTTCTAAGAAATCTAAGATTTTCAAGACGTAGAATGATATGTATTGAGATAATTCCAATCGAAATACAAAGAGAACAACTAAGAATATAAGCTATGAAAAGAAGAAGAGGACGATAGAATTCTCATTGACTGCCTTTCTTACGTGAACTGATGGTTATAGCAACCCTAGGTACTGATGCAAAAATTAAAAGTACAAGGACTAATATGTAAAGACAATAAAATAAGATAAAGCGCCAATATAGTTAACTGTGAACTTGTTAACTATATTAACCAACTGCTGCTAACCCATAACATATCAATACTCCCCTCTGAAATACTTCATTGACCTCATGGAAGAGAAAATGTTGGAAATCTGATCTTCAGTGTATGAATATTCTCCCATGTGGCTTGATCAACTGGAAGATTGTCCCACTGAATCAACAACTGCATAACTGCTTTATTACCTTGCTGCACCATATGTCTATCAAGGACCTTAGAGGGAGCAGGGCAATAAGGACTGGACAAGCCAAGGACAGGAGGGTGGCTCACAGTAGCTGGGACCTTGCAGCAAGGTTTGAGCAATGAAACATGAAAAGTGGGATGCAATAGAAGTTGGGAGGGAAGAGAAAGTGTATAGGCTTCAGTGCCTACCACACGAAGGACTTGATAAGGGCCATAATACTTGTAAGAGAGTTTGGAAAAATGTTTGTTGGACAGTGTGATCTGCCTATAAGGTTGGACCTTTAGGAAGACCCAATCTCCAGGTTGAAATTTTCTGTTTGATCTCTTCTTGTTAGCCTGATCAACCATTCGTTGTTGCGCCCTACTGAGGTGAAATTTGAGCATCTGCAGCTTGAACTCTCTGGTAACCAAGCTCCTATCCACTTCAATGACCTCAGAATCACCTTGTTAGTAAGGCAAATGCAAGGGGTGAGGTTGTCCATACAATGCCTCATAAGGAGTGGTCTGTGTGGAACTGTGGAAAGTAGTGTTGTACCACCACTAAGCAAATACCAAATAATGAGCCCAGTCCTTTGGAGAATCTGCACAATTGCACCTGAGATAAGTCTCTAAACATCTGTTCACAACCTCAGTTTGTCTGTCGGTCTGCTGTGGAAGTCTTCAGTGTCACACCTTGCATAGCAAATAACTCCCGCCACACCTTGCTAGTAAAAAGGGGATCCCATTCGCTAACAATGTCTTCAGGAAGACCGTGTAGTTTAAATACATGCTCCATGAATAGATTAGCAATATCCAACACAGTGTAAGGATGAGAAAGGGCAACAAAGTGTACATATTTATTGAGTCGGTCTACCACAACCCATATGACCTCTTTGCCTTTAGACTTAGGCAACCCCTGAATGAAATCCATGCTCACACTGGCCCAAGCTAAAGAAGGAATAGCTAGATGTTGAAACAATCCTAGATATGTAGCCTTGTCATATTTACACTTCTGGCATATCTCGCAACCTTTGATATAGTCTTCTACACCTCTTCTTAGTCCCTTCCAATAGAAAAGAGAAGTAATCCTCCTATAAGTATGGTCAATTCCAGAATGGCCTCCATGAACTGAAGCATGCCACAATGTAATGATTTCAGCTCTTAGGGAGGTATCACCTCCTTTAACCAATCGACCTTTCCATCTCAACTGCTGGTTGATAAAAGAGAACAGGATACTCAGCTTGTGGATCAACTTTCTCAATTCCGTATCAGAATCCCAACTGCTCATGATGGTTTGCAGCAAGTCGGACCTAACAACACCTAATGTAAGTGAAGCTAACTCCACTGCAGGAACCCTAGACAAAGTATCAGCAACTTTGTTCTGCTTACCCTTCTTGTATTCAATAGTAAAATCAAATTGCATCAGGTTAATAATCCATTTCAGTTGGGACCCAGTATGAAGTTTTTGTTCTAACAGGAACTTTAAGGCCTTTTGATCTGTTATAACAATGAAGTGCCTACCAGTGAGATCTGGCCCCACCTAGACACAACCATTACCAACGCAAACAACTCTTTGTCATAAACAGACATAGCTTGGTGGTGTAGAGAAAGCCCCTTGCTCAAGTAGGTAATAGGTTGTCCTAGCTGCATAATAACATCTCTTATACCAACATCACAAGCATCAGTTTCCACAGTGAAACTCAAGTTAAAATTCGGAAGAGCTAACACAAGAGCAGATGTTATTGCATCTTTCAAATTCTGAAATGCTTTAGTTGCTCCTTCCGTCCATTTGAAACCTTCCTT